ATTATTTTCAGATAATGCCCAGGTGGCAATGTCCAACTTCCTTGTAACAAGAATTATGAACTAACCTGCAGATTTAAAAGTCGGGGCATCAAGAGATTATTCCTGCTGGAGATGTTTTAGTGCATCTAGAAGTGTTTCTTTAATGTTTTCTGTACATAGATTATATACAAAGACTAACATTTGATTAACTTATTTTAGAAACCTCGCTATTCAACTTTATGCTCAAATCTGTCTTGGAGGCAGACTGAGGAATAGAAATTGATCATAACCCAGGGAAGGCCTGAACTAAGTACATGCTCTATGCCAGATCTATTTATTACATTTTTACATTATGTCCTTCCATTTGCTGCTCCCCTAAAATCATTAGGGAGGAAACAATATTCCCATTTTTACATGCACCTGAAATTAAGGAATGAGTCATTTTCTACTGTTCTCATGTAATCAGTCATAGAGCTGAGATTTGAACCCGGTATGTTAGACTCCAATGAATATAATTTTTCCATGTATTATTTTGCCCAGACTACTAATATATTCAATGGAGAACAAAGAAACAGATCTTTATTTACAGAGCTGTTCAGCAGGGGTGCATGGGATCCTGCATGTAATGCAAAAGCCAGCTTCCAATGTTAAAGGAGATGGGAGAGCTTGGGTGGTACACACGGTTAATTCATTTGGATCTGAACCAAAAGGTTGGATATTTCAACCCAGAAGTTTCTTGGAAGGAAAATGTTGGTTCGCTACTTCCAAATTATCAGCCATGAAAAACCTGTGGAGCACAGTCCCATACATACGCGAAATCACCAGGACGAGGTCACCATCAACTTGATGGGAACTTCTGGTTACTGCTTAGAAGTTTTGTAATTGTTCAGTATTTCCTTTCAGTTCCAATTCATGGTGTCCCTCTGTACAACAGAGCACAACCTGCCCTGTGCTAAACCATCTTCACAATTGTTAGGCCTTGGGCCACTGTTGCCGCCAGTGTCATTCCGTTACATTGAAGGTTCTTCTTCTTCTCCTTCTCCTTCTGCTTTTTCACTGACTTCTATTTTACCAGGCTTGGTGTTCTTTTTCAGGGACTGGTCTATCCTGATAATATGGCCAAAGTATATAGACAAAGTCTTGCCTTCATTCCTTCTCAAAACGATGCCACCTGTACTTTCTCCCAAAAGATCTGTTGGCTCATCTGGCAGGCAGCCTATGATACTTTCAATATTCTTCACCTAATCGTACTACAGTTACATCAACTACACCATTTACATCTTCTTTAGTCTTCCTCACTCATTGTCCAGCGTTCATATTCACATGAGTCAGTTGAAAATTCCATGGCTTGAGGCAGACACACACGTGCTAACCCGACAACTTTACACTTGTGTTGTGCTGCCCGTTTGCTGAGTACAAGGACTATTTCATACGATTTCTTGACTGCTGCTTCTGTGAGTGCTGATTGTAGATCCAGGTAAAATGAAGTCCTTGGAAACTTTGATCTCTTCTCTGTTTATCCTTCTAGTGGTCTAGTTGTGAGAAATGTTATTTTCTTTACATTGAGTTGTAATCCATTTTAAAGGCTGCCATCTCAGATCTTCATCAGTAAGTGCTTCAAATCCTTTTGGCTTTCAACAAGCAACATTTTGTCATCTACGAGCTGCTAATGAACCCCCCTCCTATTCTGATGCCATATTATTCTTCCTACAGTCAGCTTCGATGATTATTTATTCAGCATATGGATTGAAGAATACAGTGAAAGAATACAACCCTGAAACATATCTTCTCTGATTACAAATCATGCACTATCCCCTTATTTTCTCCCCACAACGGCCTCTTTATTCGTCTACAGGTCTCACATGAACACAATCAACTCTTCTGGAACTGTGAGTCTTTGCGATGTTATCCATAGTTTGCTATGCTCCACACAGTTAAATGTCTTTGTATACTCAGTAAAAGACAAATAAACATCTTTCTGGTATTCCCCAAGAACCATCTGATATCAGCAATCATAACCTTTGTTCCACACCATCTTCGGCATTCAGTTTGAATTTCGGGCGGCTAGCTGTTGATGAACTGCTCCAACTGTTTCGGGATTATTATCTGCACCAAAATTTTATTTGCATGTTATATCAATGATATTGTTCAATAGTTTCCACAATCTTAGAAGGTGTAAGTATAGTCAAATCCTAAAATCAACAGACATCTTAATTACATTTTTTATTGCACCTTTACCATTCTGCAAACAATTATGCCTAACAGGTGAGGGCCATCTTGCTTTTTGAAATGGAGACAATATCTTAGAGTTTGATTCAACAGAAATCTAGGTTGTGTCTTTTCTCCCAAATAAGAAAGGATTGAGGAGAGCTGCCAGTGGAAGGAAAAGGAGTGAGAGTAAAGAGATAAAAGGCCAAAGCAATTCAGTCTAGAAAACGTTTAAAGAGAAAAAACGCTCAGTCCTAAATTAAAAAATGAAAAAGTATCGAGTATTCTATGCTGATAAATACTGTCATTCCTGGCTTTAAAATGGTTTTCAAAAGGCACATGAAATTTCTACAGGGCCATTAAAGTCATCATTGATTCAATGACTGTGAGTATATGTTAAAAAAATGTCAATAACAAAAATAACCCCTGAAAATATCTGTGGTAGTTATACAATCTGTTGTCAACTTGAGAGGATTAAGAGTGAAGGGGGGGAGTTTTGCCTGCCAATCAGGTCACAGCTTGATGACCTCATTTGGAGGCACTGAGGAGAGAAATAGCTCACTAGAGGCAGGATGCAGGCTCACTTCCTGGGAGACATAGCAGCTAACAAGATACATGGAGCTATGTTAGTGCCCTGAGCTGGAGGAGCCACATGGAGACCCCTGGCAGCACTGAGATGCTTACAACATCACTGGATCCACAAAGACTTCCCACCCCTGGCCTGTGATCTTCCTGCATTCGGCATCATTGCATGTTTCATGAGTTTGAAGAGGACTTTACAGATTGGTATTAGACATATGGGCTATGGACTTGATCTGGACTGGGCTGGGATGTTTTCTTCATATACAATTACTCTTTATATAAAGCTCTTTCTTATACACATATGAATTTGTTTCTCTAGTCTACCCAGATTAGCACAATATCCCTTCCTTTTTTTGTCTTCAAAAAATGACTTTTACTGTATTTTCTCTCTTTGGGTGCCTGTTATATCCAGGCTAACATTTCAAGTGTAGCCCAGACCCTATGGTGACCCTGGGGAGAGAGTAACAGATTCTGGGAAGACTGGGAAGGTTGAAGACGACGCGCTTTCGGAGCAGACTTCTCTGAAAGAAAATATTTGAAATAAACTCTAAAGGATAAAGCATTATCCCACAGGTCTGGAACAGGGACAAAAATCCCATTGCTACTGAATTTCTAGGTTGAAGTACTTAATTTATATTATCCATCCTAAATTAAATTTTTGTTGTTGTTAAAGCTATCACATTTCCATTACTAGACAAGGTTCTACGGTGTTGAAGTTACATGACTTGGCTTCAGACCAAGACTGCCAGATTTGCATTGCAGATCTGGTCTGGCAGATTAGGAAAGCATACTTTCTATGCCTTTTACTCATCTGGTAAGTGTTGTGAAGCATAACTGTGATAACCTATGTAAAGCATGTTGAGTAGTATTTTAAATAGTTGTCATTTTACTGTTTATTTACATTAAAATATTCTTCTCTTCAATCAGAATAATTCTTTAGAACTTCAAAAATCAGTTATGGGACTTTTTTATGATGTACTATTAAATCATAGATGGGCAAGTCAAGAAATATTGCTATAAAATCATAGAAATCTTTTATTAGATAGAAAATATTCAGATGTCAAGTTACTGTTCCTTAGCAAATTCTCCCTCTAGGTCTATTCACTTTGGAATACAGAGATTCAACTCTTTAACTCTTCTCTGAAGAATTCTGTGTACTGTGCTTACAGCATTTTAGCATCCTTAAGTGACTGAAATTATACTCCTTCTAAATATTAAGTATGTAAAGTGTATAGTTGGCCCTGGAATCGGTATCTTTCAAACTTTATTTTGACCCTGAAAATGCCAGAGTTCTACTTTCTCATCTCAAATACTCTTTGTATTTCACTGAGTGAATTTTAAAGCACTCTCAAGTTAATGTCATTTAAATTCCTGTATTATACGGGTTAGTTTAACCAGAATCCTCAAATATCCAAACACCTATCCATGCCAAACAAAAAAACCAAACTCGCTGCCATTGAGTCATTGCCAACTCAGAGCAGGCCTGAAGGGCAGGGTCCAGTTGCCTGTGACTTTCTGAGCCTGTACCTTTTAAAGGTGTGGAAAACCCAGTCTTTCTCCTACACACAGACTGTGGGTGCGAACCGCTCACTTTTCAGACTGCAGCCCAATGCGTAACCACTACAGCACCAGGGTTCCTGCCCATGCAACAAACAGTTATTCAATGCCTTCTCTATTGATGCAGAGTTTTTTCACAGTCCATATGGTTCCCAGAGATGAAAGATTAGAGATGCAAGCAGAACTTCAGAAGAAAGGTCTATGGGTGTATTTGTGAATAAATCAGACACTGATAGCCCTCTGGAGGACAGTTCTATTCTGACACACATGAGCTCACCATCAGCTGAAATCAACCGAGAGCAATGGTGCTTCTTTGATTAACATGCAATTTAAGTTTATGAGACCCAGGAAATAAAATACTAAACGAGATGGACATAGTACTTGCCAATGAGGATTCTATTGTATCAGAGAACGTCGACAATGAGAACAACTACAGGACGTGCACACTGGGAAGAAGGACAGTCTTTCTTCTGGTCTAACTCGTGATGAGTATTTTCTTTGACTCACACACTGGTCCCATGGACCCTCACAGGATGCAGAGAGATGAATGTTCTTTATAGGACACTACTGAAACCACGAATTGGTATGACCAAAGACGTTTCATTTGGATGTGGGGCTGAGTGAACGTATGAGATGCGGGGGTGGGTGGGGAGGGGGGGTGTTAGGAAGCTCACAGGCATATATCGCCGAGGGTTGGTCGGTGTGCTGGCTGGGGAGGAGCTGGTGCTGAGTGCGTTCTCGATGTCCTGATCAAGTTGGTCCAGTTTCATAATTAGCAGCACCATGGAGTCCAGCCGAGCCCTAGCTCGGTCTTCTCTTACTTCCTGAAAAACAGAACATGTTGTTACCGAATCTGAAAGGCCGTTTCTTCAAAAAAGAAAAAGTTCCCTGTTCTTCAATCGGATGAAAAAGGACACTGAATAGACAGCCTTCTACTTAAAGAGGATGGGAGTGGGTGGTAGGAAGGGGCTGGGCGGGGAGAGGGTGGAAGTTCTATTCTGTAACATCAATGGGCTCTTCATTGAGAAGATACTGACCTAGTGCCAGAAAAATATTTTACATTTTATCTTCAGAAGCAAATGCAAAGAGAAAGAAGCATAACGCCAATGAGTATCATAATACTTCACAATAAATTATTTGGGGGGGGATAGGAATCTCATTTTTCCAGCATATGAGTCAAGTTTTTATAATTAGTACTAATAAATGTCTGGGTTAGACTCTTAGAGATGTTTGTGGCAGAATGGGAAGATTGTTTATGGATATGGAAAAATGGGTCAAGAATCAAGTAAGGTAGGTTTCTAGTTTGTCCCGTGTCCCATTGTCCTTGCCTGGGATCATTTGTTTACTACTGCTCCAAGATCAATCACTGCCAATATTTCCACTCTTTTTTGCCACCTTTCATTTACTTTTGAAAAATGCCTTCATGAAACTATGGATTTTCTTAGCTGACACTTATTACTTATTTGGGATTCTCTACAATGTACACATGTGCATGTGTACCCAGTGTTTTCTGACTCACTAAACCCATGTCTGTCAGCGTAGAACTCTGGAAGGTTTCCAATGGATGTTTTCTTGGAAGTGAATCACCAGGCCTTTCTTTCTTTTAATCGTTTTATTAGGGGCTCATACAACTCTTATCACAATCCATACACACATCAATCGTGTAAAGTACATTTGTACATTTATTGCCTTCATCATTCTCAAAACCTTTGCTCTCCACATAAGCCCCTGGAATCGGCTCCTCATTCCACCCCTTCCTCCCCACTACCCCCTCCCCCATGAACTCTTGATAACTTATAAATTATTATTTTGTCATATCTTACACTGTCCAACATATCCCTTCACCCACTTTTCTGTTGTCTGTCCCCAAAGGAGGAGGTTATATGTAGATCCTTGTAATCGGTTCCCCCTTTCCACCGCATTCTCCCTCCACCCTCCTAGTATCGCCACTCTCACCAATGATCCTGAAGGGATCATCCATCCTGGATTCCCTGTGTTTCCAATTTCTATCTGTACCAGTGTACATCCTCTGGTTTAGTCAGATTTGTAAGGTAGAATTGGAATCATGATAGTGGGTGGGGAGGAAGCATTTAGGAACTAGACAAAAGTTGCATGTTTCAGCATTGCTACACTGCACCCTGACTGGTTCGTCTCCTCCTGGAGACTCTTCTGTAAGGGGATGTCCTGTGGCCTACAAATTGGCTTTGGGTCTTCACTCCGCACTCCCCTGAATTCACAATGATAAGATTTTTGGTTCTGATGATGCCTGATACTTGATCCCTTCGACACCTCATGTTTGCACAGGCTGGTATGCTTCTTCCATGTGGGCTTTGTTGCTTCTGAGCTAGATGGCCACTTGTTTACCTTCAAGCCTTTAAGATCCCAGATGCAATATCTTTTGATAGCCCGGCACCATCAGCTTTTTGTCTTCAGCGATTGTGTCGGGAAGGTGAGCATCATGGAATGCATCAGGCCTTTCTTTTACGGTGCCTCTGGAGAGACTTGAACGTCCACATTTTCAGTAAGCAGCAGAGTGCATTAATCATGTTTAACATCCAGGGACTCCACTTTTGCTCATGTAGCTTTTTTCCCTCATCACTAGTTATTCTTCTCAGGTTCTCAGGTAGAGTACTGGGTTATGAAAGAGGCTGCTAACCTGGTAACCATCAGGCCAGCAGCTCTAAATCATCATCTGGTCTCCGGAAGAAAGATGAAGCTTTTCAGCTCAGGTAAAGATTTATAGCTTTGAAACCTCCAGGGACAATACTACTTTCTCATATAGGGTTGCTGTGTGTCAGAATCAACTTGAAGGTAATGTGAAAGAGTTATAATTCTTCAATGGTCAAATAAGATGAATTAGAATTAGAAATAGTCTCAATTTCCTGTGTTGTGTAGGATATCAGGGATGGGTAGGATATTTGGTTATTAAGAAAACAAAACCAAACAAACAACAAAGGATCATGGGAACCACAGTTAGGTACTCTGGAAGCAAAGTCCACTCATGGATGTAATGGACCGAGAACCAGATCTTTGGAGACAACTCATCACTTGTGGTCCAGGCAACCACATTAGCATAGGATGCATCCCTCACCTCCCTTGGGTTGGTGGAGACTCGTAGTAACCCCGTGGGACAAGGTAGAACTGCCTCTGTGGGTTTCCAAGACTGGAACTCTTTGTGGGAGTAGAAAGCCTGTCATTCTCTATCAGAACAGCTGGTGGTTTCGAACTACTGATCTTCAGGATCTCAGCCAATTCTTAACTACAACCTCAGGGTTCCTAGGCATTACTATATAGTACTACTAATAAAACGTAAACAAACGAAAAAGGGAAGGTGGCTATAAGCGCAATTCTCCGGTTACACACACCCAATATAGAGACAACACCTACTTGATCTTTAAACTGGTTCTGTAGTGACCAACTAAGACGGGCATAGACCCAACATTTGAGATCACTGTTTGAGCTGTTTATTTGGGTCAGTTTCCAAAGGCCCACGAGAGGCAGTCTTGAAGGGAAGCCCGAGGAGGGTCTACACAAGGATAATGGCTTGGGACTACATTCTGCTCATCAGGTAGCAGTAGGAGGGATGTAGGCACGGCGGCAGCAGATCTTTTATCCACTAAATTCCTGATCTCCATTTGGAGGAGCCCCAGAGAACAGGAATGAGCAAAATACCCCTGACTCGTCTAATTGTATAATGTTCAATATACTTAAACATGAAACAGTTATAACAAAGTGCTGGTCTCTCAGAGGCTTGATCTTTCAGATGTTAAGATAATTGGTTTATTAGATTAAGTTGGACAAAGAATCAATCAGTTAAACTAACATTTGATAATTCCACAGAGACAGATTGACTTTGAAAATAAAATATTCATTTTTGATCTATGTTAATTCCTTCATAATATATTGTCAGTGGTACTTCCATTTTCCTCCAGTCTCAAACATTTAGTGAGACCCTGACATGCTAGTGGAATTATATTTGTTATCATACAATTCTATTATGCCTAGTAAGGTCCATGATGCCAAAATTCCAAATATTACATCTAAGAATAATAACATCAGTAGGTTAAACACTACAACATTGTGTGTAATACAAAAAAAACCTAAACCCACACACAAAAAACCAAACTTCCACCTTTGGTTCTATTACCACTCATAGCAATCTGACAAAGGGTTGACAAGGCTGGTGGATTTGAACCACCTTGCTTGGTGTTAACAACCCAGAACTTCCCAGACAGTGAGACCAGGGCTCCTTGTACAACACAGGACTACTAATAAAACGAAAACATAATAAAAAGGGGAGGTGATGATAAGTACAATCCCCAGGTTGCAAACACCCAATTTATAGACAAGGCCTACTTGCCTTTTGAACTGGTTCTGTACTGGCTAACTGAGACAGGCACATGTTTATAATCTGGCAGATTTGGCATAGTAATCAGAATGGGAAAAATTATGGGTTGAAGACCTGGGATGGGAGACTTGGATGATGCTTTTTGCTATTGTCGTTAAGTGCCATTGGCTTGGAACTAACTCATAGCAACCTTATGCATAATAGAATGTAGCACTGCCTGTCTTGCACCATCCTTAAGACTATGTCTGAGCCCACTGTTGCAGTCACTGTATCCACCCCTCCCGTGGAGCAGCTCCCTTTTCTTGCTGTGCCTCTTCTTTACCAAGCACACTGTCCTTTCCCAAGAACATACCATGACAGTCTCTTCTGATAACATGTCCGAAGTCCAAGAGACAAAGCCTTGCCATCCTTACTTCTAAGAAGCATTTTGACTAGACCTCTTCTAAGGTAGGTTTATTCTTCTTGCAGACCACAGTACTTTCAATATTTTTTGCCAAAAACTGTAATTTAAATGCACAATTCAAAGAGATCTAGTGAGCCTTTTCAGGACCTTGAGGGGTGAGATTCGATTACTGATAGGATTACAGGAGGGCCACACATAGCAAAAGCCACCTAAGAGGCGTCCATCTTCGGGTGGAGCAGCATGATTTGGGACAATACTTAAATCTAAGGGTAAGAGGTTTGGGTGTTATGCAATGCCCTCCTTCTGTAAACTGGAGATTAGGTTTCTAACAAGGCTACAACCCACCATTTTTCTGTGTCAGGTATCATTCCAGTTCACCTTAACAGTCAAAGTTGACTCTGTTCTACTGTTGCTTTCTGGGCCATGATGGAACTGGGCAGCACCAGTTTGAAGTCTGACAAGTTCATAAAGACACTCTTAGGAAGGGGTCTCCTCACCCCAGGGACTTCTGTATGGTCTAAGTCTGGGACTACTTGGACATCATCTAAACTTCAGAACTTGGTCCTATTCAAGAATTATTATTTATAGTAAAATCATGCCTATAACTTAAACCAGGGTCAATGAAATATCCTAGACTATTCCATTCAATTCCCTCCTAAATATTTCAAAAAATATGATTGAATTGAAGACTGAACATCATTTTAATGTTGCCTCCAAAGTATTTGGCTATAGTACTTCCTTTTAAACCAATGTATGCTCTATAAGGTGACCTTCTCTGCATCTCTATATCCATGTATGGTTTTGTAGGCTTGTCTTTAATTTTTTGTCTTATAGCATTCTCAAGCACAGAGATTATGTGTTTTTGTTTTTTTTTGATTGGCAGAGTTAAATTCAACACTGCCCATGCAATAAGTTTAAGAAATAAAAATAATGAAATTCATAGCTGTCAGTGAAATAACACCCCCTCGAAACCTTAGAAAATATAGCTTGCTATTTTTCCAGGTTCCAAAATGACATTGGAGGCAGCAGCACAGCCTGCAGATGCCTCCGACCCAGCGGCAGTAGTCTCCAAA